AGAGATAGGATAGAAGTCATCATGGCGCTTAAATTCATCCGCCAGCTGTATGCACTCGATACCCTCGACACTCGCTTCGTAATACCAGCTACCACACCGCCCAAGGAGGCGCTCGAGGAGGCCAAACTTGACCCAGTGGGCCCAATTCCAGTAAAAGAAGGAAGAGAGGGTACCAGACGTGCAGATAATGACATTCAGCCGCCACGATGGAACACACCAGAGTTTTATTTCTACTACGTGGCCATTTCAGCCAGCGTATTCATGATGTTTAAATCCGTACTGGACGTGTCTAAAGGTATGTTGGGCGATACGACAAGTAAGAGCCATGTGTTGACCAACTTATAGAATCGCACCCAAATTATCCAAAATTCGAACATCTCCTTTCCGATGGCTGGATACCTGGGCGGAAAGTGGTATGTTACGTTGCCCCTTGTCATGTACAATTCACTGACTACCCAGGATAATGTTGATGCTCAATATGGCGGCTTCCGTCAAAACATTCCATATCTATTTATCGTAGTACTACTGCATCCAAATTTACGCAAAGCATATGACTCTTTCTGGCGAGCTGGTACATACACCCAAGTACGGTCGTCGGCAAGCAATGGCCTCACAATGGGCTTAACACCGTCCGCTGCGGCGGATGCCCGCATGCTTCAGCGCATATCGTTTGACGTGGGCTTCGCTGCTATATTTCTTGTTGCTCTACATGGTTTCTCGGCATTCAAAATCCTGGCAATCCTCTATGCCAATTACTGCATTGGAAAGAAGCTCCCTCGACAGTACATACCAGCCGCAACGTGGATCTTCAACGTAGGCACCTTATTCGCCAATGAATTTGGCCGGGGCTACTCCTATGCAACTATCCTCGGCACATTTCTCCCATCCACAACTTCGAAAAAGGGCGAGTCAACATCTGATTTCGGCCATATGCTCGATAGCTATGGTGGCCTCATTCCACGTTGGGAAGTTCTCTTCAACTTCACTATCCTCCGGCTCATAAGTTTCAACCTCGACTATTACTGGTCACTCAACTCCCGAGACAATAGTCCTCTAGAAGTATTCTTCCCATCTTCCCTCGATTCGATATAGCTAATAACGTCTAAGAAGAAACAACTCGACCCATCCAACCTCTCTGAGCGTGATCGGGTATCCATCCCTGCGAAACCCGCCGACTACTCATTCCGCAATTATTTCGCCTATGCCACATATTCTCCACTCTACCTGGCTGGGCCCATTGTAACATTTAACGACTATATAGCGCAATGTCGCTACCGGCCTCACAGCATCACCACTACGCGGACAGGCTTCTACTTGGTGCGTTTCATTGTCGTCCTCCTTACCATGGAGATTATGATTCATTACATGTACATGGTCGCCATCTTTCACGAGAAGCCCGACTGGTCTCAGTACACACCTTGTGAGCTCAGCATGTTAGGCTTCTTCAACCTCAAACACATTTGGCTAAAGCTTCTCATACCATGGCGCTTCTTCCGCCTCTGGTCTCTCATGGATGGCATAGACCCGCCAGAGAACATGGTGCGTTGCATGTCTGACAACTACTCTGTTATGCACTTTTGGCGCGGATGGCACCGCAGCTTCAATAAGTGGAGCTTGAGGTATCTGTATATTCCTCTTGGTGGTAGTAAGGGCGAGGGCATCCTCGGCAAAGCAAGAGCGATCGGCAACTACCTCGCAGTGTTTACCTTTATCGCCATCTGGCATGATATTCAACTCCGACTACTCATGTGGGGATGGCTTGTGACCCTCTTTGTCCTTCCAGAGATTATCGCATCATACATCTTCCCAGCAAAGAAGTGGAAGAACAGCCCCGATGCTTACCGCTGGTTGTGTGGTGTGGGTGCTGTCGGCGAGATTCTGATGCTTATGACAGCTAATCTCGTTGGCTTTGCACTTGGAATGGATGGGCTAAAGGGTCTGGTTAGTGGCATTGTGGGGACGTGGTCTGGTTGGATGTTCTTTGCGACAGCTTGCTGTGCGTTGTTTACAGGCGTGCAGTTTATGTTTGAGTGGCGTGAAAACGAAAAGCGAAAGGGGATTAAGATGAAGTGTTAGATAGGCAGGATTGAGGCAGGCCCTTTTTAGCAGAGAAGGCTACATGATGCTGTGCCTATTGCTGAAAGCATGGTCTACATTGTTATAAAAAACTACAGTCCACTAAAACACAAAAATCAAGCGAGGGTTGCCATTATCACATTCATTATGCGTTGCTCACATAGCGTTGTTGAGAAGGTCGGCCGTCAAGCAAAGCTGACAAAAAAAAAGAGCAGCAAAAAGAAAATGGCAAAAACAGAGTTTCGAACCCACGCTGGGTGAAAAGTTGTTCCAAAGATTGAGTAAGTGCAGTGTTGTGCGGGACTCGCGGTCACTTCTGGTAAAAGGCAAGAAATGAGTTCGTACAAATCCTCGCACTGCACAATCGCTCTTACAAAATAAAAAATATATATACTGCGCAAAAAGTGTTGGGTGTGTGATCAGACTTCCGAGGATGCAATGATTGGGGCGCGCCCCTACGCTATGGGAAGTAAAAGGCCAGTGCGTTGTTATACGAAAGGGACAGTGACGTGACACGCATGCGAGGAAAGGGTCGAGTGGATGCGCTGGCCGTGCGCACTCGTCTGTTACTGTACCGAGGGGTGTGTGCTTGAGTCGTGTCTGGGATTCTGGCTGGCTGGTACTTTTTTTTGCTCCTCCATCCTCGCTAGCTGTAAGAAAACGGCTACTACCTTTTTTTTTTCAAAAGAGCATAGGTAAGGGGAGAGTAGAAGAAGGTATTGAGGATGAGTTTGGCTCCGCGTGCTTGGATTTCTAGGTGAAGTGAGGGTGATTGTGGGACACGTGCCCCCCGCTTTTGGTAGCTTGCTAGGCTGCCTTCCTGGAGCTTGCTGAATGACATCTTCTCCTTTCATTTTGCGCAAAGTTGGTAATGGCTATTTTCTGCGTCGTCGCATGGGGTTCTTTCAGTCTACTCTAGGATTCTCTCGGTAGACTTGCGAAGTTGATGGTATCAAGGGTGGAATCCCTGTCTCCAACTGGTTTCATGTGGCTCGAGTACCTGAGACTCAAATACACCTGGCTTCCTTCCTCCACTTATTCTTTCGAGAATATTGTTGCGATTCATGCTTGCTGAATATATTTAGTACTGAAAGTATCGCGAGTTCTACTATTTGCAACTACCATTCTACACAGTTGCCGCATCGTCTTTCTTGGGGGCCGTCTGGCCCCCGAGTCTTTGTTTCCTATCTCTTATTGCTCTCTTCAATCCCTTCACGTTTTATAAAATCGCCTCATATTCCGCAAGGATCAGATGGAAAATATAGGCCAACGAAATGGCTCTATCTAGCATCTTGTACCAAGCCTTGGTCTTGAAGCGCCAAGGTGTATATCCATTATTTTGCGCCGACACCAGGTGCAATGTGTACTAGCATGCGCCGGAATAGTCGCAGTCCGCTTTTGGACTGAATGCACAGTCTCTCTAGCTAATCAGTAAGTATGAATTGTAGGGTATCTTAAGAAATCGTTCTCCATCGTTGTCTGTTCCCGTTTTAACAGTGGTTGCATCACCTTCCTTACACCCGTCGGGTAGCCGACCACCACCCTTCATAAAAAAAATAGCACTTCAAACGTCAAAATGTCAGCATAATTTTCCCGGCTCGATTTGAAACTATTTCCTGTCCTCGGCTACCTTCATTCGTTTTGACGATTCAACTCCAACGCCTGAGGCACTTTGGTGTTTCAGTCTTTGTTCCTTGCCCCAGATTGTAATTGCCCCCCCTACCCCTCGCCACTTCACCCAATGCGTTGATAATCTTGAGATTTCGTTTGCCCAATGGTCTAGAATACCAGCGCCTTTCACTATCTGTTCGCGATTACCAAACGGCGCTGGCACTAGACCCAAAATCGCCAAGCGCGAGGTAGGACATGCAAGAGGATATGGTCACTCACTCCAGCTCTCTCGTTACACTTGACCTACAACACCTTGCACACAGTCTTTACTGTCTGGTTTGCTTCACGATCTCTTCGCTCGGCGTGGTCCGGCTTCCTCTCTTTTTGCCAACTGCAGGCAGTCACTCTCTTATTTCTTGTCCGACGGCTTGAGTTGTACTCGAGTCAAACACACTACCGCAATCAGACACATAGCAGTTTTTGCATTGTCTTTATAGCACGAATATTTCATAAGGTTCAATTCATCGTCGCCATGAAGAGTGTCATTTTGGCGAGCGCTCTGGCAGCTGCCGGCCTTCTTGTGGGCTCCGCGAGCGGGCGTCCTCTCTGTAAGTCATACACTCGATTGGTGAGACCCTATTGGCTTAACGAATCTAGACCACAAGCGCGAACTCGTCACCAAGGTTGTGTATGTGACTGAGGTGGTCGCCGAAGTTGTTATCTATGTAGATGAAGGGGGTGCGGCCTTTTCAACCTCAACTTCTGTCAAGGTCCCTGTCATGGCTATGTCGTCAGTCCTATCTTCAAGCACTTCTCAGGCCGCTCTGTCAACGACAACAACTCCTTCGGAGTCTTCTTCGGTAACTTCTGTCATATCTACTCAAGCTTCACTGACGCCAGCTGTCGTGCCCGAGTCTTCTTCTGTGACACCCATCACCACTGAGACATTAGAGCCTGCGGCTCAATCCTCTTCCGTAGCAGAACCTTCCCCATCTCTGGCCGAATCTTCCTCGCCTCCAGTGGAACCGTCTTTACCTCCGGTTGAGCCGCCTTCTCCTCCAGTTGCAACACCCTCTCCCCCGGCAGCACCTCCATCCCCCCCAGTTGAGCCACCTTCTCCTCCGGCGCCGCCATCCTTGCCTCCAGCTGATTCACGTCCTCCTCCAGCGGAACCATATTTGCCCTCAGCTGCACTGTCCTCTCCTCCAGCGAACCAGTATCTTCCTCCAGCTGCATCACCTTCCCCTCCGTCTGCGTTGCCGCCGCCTTCTTCCCCTGAGGCACCTGCCCCAACCGACAATCTGATTGAGGGCAACCTGCCTATGGGTATAACCTGGGATGTCTACACCGGCGCATCAGAATGCAAGTCAGAAGCTGAAATCGCTAGCGAATTCAGTAGGATGAAAGACTTCAAGATGATCCGCTTATACGGCATGGACTGCAATCAGATCTCCCTTGGCATCCAGAATGCACTTAAGAACGGCCAGAAGCTCATGGGCGGCGCATATCTGGATGCAGGTGGTAGCGGTGAAGACGTCAGCGAGGTCATCCAAGCTTACAAGAATGCTATCGATCAGCACGCCGGCGGCAACTGGGAGGTCATACAGCTCTTCACAGTGGAGAACGAACGTGTAAACGAGGGCAGGATGAATGCAGCGCAGGTCGTAGACGCAATTGGTAGAGCGCGTACCCAGCTACGACAACTTGGCTACAGCGGCCCTGTGGGCGCTGTCGAGACGGCACCAGCTACTATTAACAACCCGTCTATCTGCGAAGCCTCAGACGTGGTCATGGTCAATATCCATGCCTTCTTTGACCAACACACGCACGCAGCGGATGCAGGTCCCTTTGTGAAGAACCAAGTCCGGATGGTACAGTCTACCTGTAACAATAAGCGTGTTGTTGTCACTGAGTCGGGTTGGCCTCGCCAGGGTAGCCCCAATGGTGAAGCTATCCCATCAGCAGAGAACCAGCGCATTGCTCTTCAGTCAATCCGCGAATCTTTCAGTGGCGACATGTTTCTCTTCAGCGCCTTTGATTCCAGCTGGAAGGTCAACACGGCATCTACTTTCAACGCCGAGCGTTTCTGGGGCGTTATCGGGTAGGTGTCTTGATGATATGAGGGTTTCAGTATGGCATGGCTAGATGGGATGTCGTGGAAATGAGTCTACATCTCATCATTTGGCTATATACGCCTGTATCTTATGATTGCTTTCTTTTCGTGTGGGCCAGGCCATTGTGTGGCCTGGTGTCAAGTTTATGTATACGGAAGCTCGTTCCTTGTACGATCATGAAATTATGCAAGTATGAGGTACAATTGGTTTGCAGCACATGTAGTATAGATACCCTGATTTTCTAATAAATCAATTCATGACTGCAATAGAAACTCTTCAACACCATTAACAGTGTCTAACAAGAAGGAGTAAATCAAACTCACATAAGTCAAAAATTGCTAGCAGTACTCTTGCCGGAACTTACTGGTACTTGTCTTGGAATCCTTCTCCCCAGTGGATGTGAATGCCTTGTTGGCATAGGCAGTCTAACTATGCATTCCCTTTTCTATCAAATGCTCTTCTACTCTACGTCTTAAATCTACCACCACATAAATGTTCTATACCAAAAGTCCTACCAGCTAAACCGCAAAACGAGCAAGCAGAAACCCACCCACTCAACCGCTTTACTCTTACAACTCCAACTCCGCTGCCACATCCTCAATCGCCTTAACCAAGCCATCCAGCGTCCCCCTGCCCACATTCCCATTCACCACAACCCTAAAAAACTTCCCTTGCTCCCCGGGCGCAAAATCAACCATAAACCCCCTACTCACCAGCCTCTGCGCAATCTCCGTCGTAGCTTTGCTATTCTTCTCTGCATCCTCGTTCACCGCCCCATTCTTGGCATAGTAAAAGCACACCTGCAAGCAAGGCAGGGGCTCCGGACTAATCGTCTTGAAGTGACCACCATCTTTCAGTTTCTGGAGTAGGTACTCGGCGTTGTCGTAGGCTCTATCGACCAAGTCGCTGAAATGCTGGGGGCCGTAATATTGGAGGGCGAGGAAGAACTTTAGGCTGTCTGCGCGGCGACCGCATTGGGGGGTTAGGTCTGCGAGGTCGTATATATCCTGGGCGTCTGTGCCGGGGGCGTTGTGGAAGAGGTAGCCTGCGGGCAGCGTGAGGGCGCGGTAAAAAGTATTCATGTCCTTGCCGAGTAAGAAGCTGCTGGTCATGGGTACGCCGAGCATTTTATGGGGATTGACGGTTATGCTGTCTGCGAGGTCGGAGCCTGCAAGACGCGGCGGGGAGTAGGTAGGGGAAAAGATGACGCTGCCGCCCCAAGAGCCGTCAATGTGGAGCCAGAGGTTGTGCGATTTGCAGATCGATGAGAGGGCGGGGAAGGGGTCGAATGAGCCGTGGACGGTGGTGCCTGCTGTGGCGTTGACGAAGAAGGGGGCTTCGCCGCGGGTCTTGGATTCGGTGACGAGGCGCTCGAGTTCGGAGGGGATCATGCGGCCATGGTCGTCGACGGGGACGGCGATGACGTTTTTGGAGCCGAGGCCGAAGAGATTGGCGGCTTTTTCTACAGAGTAATGACCGTGGGCTGAGGTGAAGAGGGTAAATTTGTGGGTTCCATTGCCCTCGGTTTTGGTCTCTGGGAACAGGGTGTTTCTAGCGATGACGATGGCGGAGGCATTAGCGGCACTGCCACCTGGTTGGGAGATTCCCCCACAAGTTTTCTCTGGCAGGCCAAAGAGAGAAGCTAGGTACTTTGTTGTTCGTTTTTCGACGAGGGTTAGTACGGGTGAGACGTGGTAGACATGGGCCTGGGAAAATTCAGTACCTGATTGTTTAAGCAAGCAAAGAAACTTACATTGGTGTTCAACACAGCCAGAAGCAGCTCACTGACTACGCCTACCGCGTTCGTACTCGCATATAGTTTGTCCAGGAACCCTTGATCCCAAGTGTTTACGCTATACTTTAGCACGGTGCTCACCAGCTTGACTAGTCCATCTTTCCCAACTTTTTTGTCATTAATTTCCAGCTCTTCGCTGAGGATAGACTCCAGCTTCTTAGGAGGATGATGCTCAACGATTGTAGTTCTTGGGCCACCACTACCTTCTATTCGTAGACCATGGCCAGTGTGCTTAGTAGCAGCATCTTCGTCTGCAGAGCGGATGAATGGTATGATCAACTCTTGGACGGCATCAAGAAGCTGATGGTAGCGTTAATATCATGCTGTCTGGTGGGGGCGAATGACGAATTGGAGGCATCATCGACGTGCAGTGAGTAACACAACATTTTCTGTCGGAATGCTCGGAAAATGGTTCCGAAGAACTTACATCTTTGACTTCATCAGCCCGATTGAGAGGCGTATTTCCGGGTGCGGAAGACATGACACAAGTCGCCAGACAATTCGAGAAATTCAATCTCGAAAAAAGCCAGTATAAGGATTGGATTGAAAAGAACCGTGGTGGTGATGTGTAGGAGCAAAAATCACGGCACAGAAATGGCGCGCAAAGTTGCCCGAGCTAATCGGCATTAGTGCCGGCTACCTGAGCAAATGGCAAACATGCAGTCATGGATTCTTATAATCGAGCTGACCATTCCTGGTCCGCCAAAAATGCGTAATCGCACATGCAAATTATGCCACTAAGAAAGGTATCTACGATCGTCGAATCAGAAACCAAACAACCAGATCAACCACTACAACAGATCCACCTTATCTAACGCCAGAATGATGAAGCAGCCAGTGTGTAAATTTCATGCCTGATATAGAAAATATCCCACGCCATGCACGTGGTGTCGCCATTGTCATTGTGCTGCAACACTCTTGCCTTTGCTGCTACTCCCGCTGCCCACGCTACCATTTGTAGCTTGGCTTCCCTTCTTGGACTTTTTGCCGTCTTTTCCTTGTGCAGCCTTTGCAGCTGCATGCTTCTGCCTTGCCAGCTCAATAGCCGTCAGCTTCTTGCCCGCCTTAGGATTTTGAGGCGCATCACTAGTACCCTCTGGGAAGGACTGGAAGCCTTGATTGCCAGCTGTGTAGCGGGATTGTGTGACCCAATCGTTACGTCTGCGCTTGTAGAGATCCATGCGCCAGTTTCGCCAGACGGCACGACCTACATGAGATTCACGCAGAGAACTCTCGTTTTCTGCCAGCTCCTCGGCGATGCGTTCGCGGATGAAAGCCAGACCAGCTGTGCCCTGCCAGATTGCGTCGATGACGTGCGACGCTGCTGGGTCGAGTGCAAGCTCACCGATCTTACCGTAAAATAGTTGGATCATCTTACGGCGGAAGATGACAGACGCGTTCTCTGACATTAATGCTGCTTGAAGTGTCCTGGACGCTGTCGGGTCGCGAGCCAGCTGAGTGGCAAGCTCAGGAGACAAGTTGGCAAGAGAGTCAAACACAAGGTGACCAAGGGGTCCGTCAACGGTCATCATGGTTTGTGCCAGCAAAGATCCATGAACCTTTTCCGGTGACGGAACATGCCTGGCACGTAGTTTTCCCTCTTCTTCATTTAGCCGAAGGATGCGGGTGACTTCAAAGCCGTTGGAACCAGCATAAGCAGCCTCGAGTTGTGCCTTGATGGGTGCGCAGTCAACTTCACGTGCCACACAGCGCTCAATGAGCACTTTGATGACAGCGGTTCGGTTGCGTTCGACTAGGCTGGGAATCTGGTCGACAATTTGGCGCATGGCTTCTTCTAGGTCGTCTTTGCCGAGCCGCTCGAGGATCTTACCTACCACGTATCCCGCGATTTCATTGCGTGACAAGTTGCCCATGCGCTCTTTGAAGAATTCTCCATAGATGGACTTGAACACTTTACCCGGCGCATTCTCGATAATTGTTTCCAATAGGCGGGATCCTACCGCGTCATATACTAGACCATTGATGAGGATGGCGCTTTCAGTTCCTTCGGCAATGGGGTTGTCAGGAAGCAGTCGGTGAATGATGGACTTTTCGTTCTTGGCTCGAGACTTTCCAAAATGCGCCAGTTCCAGCTTGAGAAGTAGTTGCAGGGTTGGGCCACCGAGTGGATGTGTGGTGAGTGAGCGAAGATAATGCGACTCTATGCCGGAGACACTATCGCTAATAACCTTTTCCAGGGCATCCAGGAAAGACTGGGGAATAACCCTCTCCTCCAAGACACGCTCCTGACCCTTTTCCGCGCCAGAAACAGTAATCTTTTCCTTCTTCTTGCTCTGCGTAACAGACTTGGTCTGTTTCTCCAGCGGCGCACCCGAAAGAATTATAAGCAACACCCGGAGTACATGAGAGGCGTACTTGTCCGTCATCAAAAAACCCATATATCCCTCGAGCTCGCCGAGTGTAAAGAGAAAGAGATTTTCCATCGAGACAACGACTTCGTCGGGATCGGAGGCGGGTGGGGTCTGCAGAGGTTCCGCTTTAACGGTCTCTTCCGTAACGATGGGGGCGGCTTTTATAAAGAGTGTTTCGCAGCAGTGGGAGGCAAAACGGTTCTGGACGAGGTTGAGAAAACTAAGAGGGGGGAGGGGCGATCAGCATGGCAATAGCAGAAGGTATCGTGGAAGAACGTACTGTCCGCTGAATTTCTGGAACAGACTTTTCAATTGGTCTGGTGAGGATAGGAGGATCAGGCGCTCAAGTAAGCGCGAGGACTGGCCGTTGGCAATTTTCAATTCCTTGCCGTCTGCCTCTTTCCACACACTGGCCAGGAAGATATCACGGTCCTCTGTGCTCTCGAACTGGTTCAACTCGAGCATCTCATCGGCCTTTTTGAAGTACTCCTGCTCCTGCTCGTCGAGCATTCCGTAAAAAGGCGACTCGTTGGGGCGGTTGATTTGGCCATTAGCGAGTTCCTGGACTGAATCTTGGACATGGAGCAGATCAGAATCTTCATGCTTGGGGCGCTTGGAGCTGGCATCGTCGTCGGCGTCCCTCTTGCGCTTTTTCTGTTCCTCGCGGCGACCGCGCTTCTTGTGTTCCTTGGGCATTGTTGGCGATGACGGCAGCGGCGCGCGACGAAAGTTTGGACTGTTTCAGCGGTCGGGCGGGGAGAGAAGTCTGCAGTGCGCAGCAGCACCCAACGCAGGGCCGGGCAGCAGGGACTTATAGCCGGCTGGCGGTGGACAGCAAGGGCAGGGCTAGAGAGGGCCGTGGAAGGGCAGTATAGAGGTTTAACGGAGGCGTTGGACACGGCAGTCGCAGTGCATTAAGCATGTTTTCCAGCAGTGGACTGATGCGGCAGAGGGTGGCGCTCGCTAGGGAAAAGTTGCTGCCCATTTTGGGGCTAGCCCAGATCGGTGGAGATCGAGGCGGTCCCCAAGATCGGGAAGGCGCCACCAGGGCAGAGGGAAGGGTCGACCGAGGCTGGCTAGTGCGCTAGAGCCCGGTGCGCTAGCCGCTTTTGGGCGTGGCCATGCTGGGATGGGCCCCCCACCATCACTGGCCGAACGGTAACTGCAATACCGTCAGCCGCAGTGACAGACTGCCTACCCTCGTCCAAACGCAGCCATCTGCCTACAAATCGTACGATCCATGGATGACAATTCAACTCGCGTCGCAGACTACCTCGACGATAGGCTGCAGACGCTTGGCGACCTCGACTCGCTCCACGACCTATTGGCCACCATTACCACCCAGCACGGCCTGCTCAAGAAGCAGCTCCACGACGCCAAGCGCGACCTCCACGATGCCAAAGACGCTGCCCACGCCCACCATGACTCCCTTGCCCAGCGCGCAGACGCCTTTAGGCACGAGCAGGCCGACATTGACCGTCGCCTCATGGTCATAACCGCTTCGGAGACGAGCGACGAAGCCGTGCCCCGCTTCGCTGAGGTGCTCGACACGCTGCACCGTCTGGATGTCGCCACCAACTATGTAGACCTGCTGGCAGAGGTGGACAAGCTCAGGTACGCCAGCGCCAGCAGCTGCCGCCTCTCATGCCCCAGAGCCGCCGCCCGCTGACGTACCGCTACAGTAAACAAGCCCAGGCAAAACTCCAGACGTCTAGCGAAGCCGCCCTCGCGCCGTATAAGCAGCTGCGTGCCATTCACACGCGCCTCATCAACCTGCAAGAAGATGCAGAGGGTGCCGCGCCCCAGCTGGTCTACTACGTCAGTAAAATCACCCACACCCTGCGCACCAAGATTCTCGACGCCTTCTCTGCCCAGCTCGAACATACGCTCAAGAAGATACGCTGGCCCTTGCCCAATGCAACTATACCCGCGCATCTGCGCGAAGAATGGGAGACTGCCTTTGTTAAGCTTCTCGACCTGCAATCGCCCGAGCTCGAGGGCATGAACTATGCGAATGGTCCTGGAAACAAGGTTAAACTACCGCCAGTGTTGTTCCCTATGGAGGTGCTGGTGCAGCCGCTCGAGATGCGGTTCCGCTACCATTTTGAAGGCGACAAGCCCACAAACCGCATTGATAGGCCCGAGTACTTTCTTTCTCACATTACCACGCTTCTGAACGACTACAGCGGATTCGTCAATGACCATGTCCAGCCTGTACTGCTTCGCCACTTCCGCGGAACCGATCTTGCGCTCAACCCTGTCTACATTGATGCCATGTCGGCCTTCATTACTGCCCTACTACCCATGCTGCGTACCAAGATTGGCTCACTGCTGCCCAAGGTCGCTGGCCAGCCACAGCTTCTGAGCCACCTGATACACGAGGTGATGAACTTTGACACGGACCTCCGAGACACGTGGGGTTACGATGCTGGTCATGGCGTTGAAGGCTGGAAGGGGCTTTCATGGGAATTCCTCGTACAGGGGGATTGGTTCGGACGGTGGCTGCAGGTGGAAAAGGATTGTAGGCTTTCTACCGTGCCCAATGTGGAAACTCGTGGCGGACGACTGACACGCAGCAGTTGCCCTATCCCGCTATCAGAACATTGTCGAGGCTCCAGACTTTGGTGATCTAGACTATGAGAGCGTCGATCCCAAAGCCACCAAGCCCACAAAAGGAGCGATCCGCGTAAACGACCTGCTCGAGACCATCACGGGTATTTTTCTCGCTTACCCTACATTGCAAATCTGCCGCTAATCTTACATTTCCTGCAGATCGCTACAGGCCTCTTACTTCGTTTAGCCAAAAACTCACCTTCCTGATTGATATTCAGATTGCCATCTTTGACAAGTTACATGAGAGGCTGCAGAGCAATCTCGAAGCATATCTGACCATGACCACGTCGCTGGGTCGTGCCATGGGTGGTATTACCAAAGAGGAACAGGAAAGGCTGCTTGGCGTTGAAGGACTAGAGCGCCTTTGCAAGACCTTTGGCAGTGCAGATTATCTCGAACGGGCCATGCGTGACTGGAGCGACGACGTGGTAGGTTCATATTTGCATTACCCCTGTGCTCTGTGATTCGCGGCTGACTTTGAGTTTCGTAGTTTTTCCTAGATATATGGGAGGAGCTACAGGACCGCGCGCGTAGCCCGACTAGTAATATCGGTACCATGACTGTTGCGGATGTGGCCGGACGCACGTCAAAGAAGGTTGAGAGTGACGACATGGAGGCAGGCTCGCTGTTTGACGAAACGGCATCGTGGTATGCGCGTCTTCGTGACCGCAGTGAGAAGATTATCATCGACACACTTAACAGCAACGTGCGCGAGGCGCTGCGTGCATATCGGCACATGTACGTTTCCTCACCACATCACTTCGCCGTTTAATGCAAAAGCTGTGTACTGACATATTTGTTTTTTTCCTGATAGCAACCCGTGGGCCACGCTGGGTGGGCCCTCCGCTTCAAGTTCCGCTGCTGCTGAACCCTCGCCGACCGCAGAGCTGGATCCATTGCTTGTTTATCTGCGCACAACACTAACGTTCCTTGCACGTGCCCTTGCGTCTGCGCCATTGCGCCGCATCACCCGTGCCATGCTGACTACGATTTCGACGGTGTTTTGGGAGAACGTGCTGAGTCGGTACCGCTTCTCGACGCAAGGTGCCACACAGTTGCACGCTGATGTCTTGGCTGTATGCCGTGTCGTCGACAAACATGTCGGACCAGGTGTAGCAGAAACGGGACTGAGGAAGTGTCTCGAGGGTGTGAAACTTGTTGGCTTACCAGTCAAAGGCAGTCCTTCTTCATCTAGTAGTAGTACATCAGGCCAGGATCACCAAGCCAAGCATGACGACGGTGGCGGCGAGGATACCGAGGATTGGGACACGGAGGCTTGGGGCGCTGCAGAAGACGGTGGTGAGGAGGAGCCTCCGTCGGTTGTTGTTGCGCAAAAAGCAAAGCACCACCCCGGTGCCACGCCGTCATTTGGCGGTGGAAATGAGGCTGGCGCTGCTGCGGCGGCTGGGGCTGAAGAAGTGCTGGGGCTGTGGGAGGTGGAAAAGCGGCTGTTTGCGGATAACCAGGCGGCTAGAGATGTGCTGGATGAGTTGGGCCTCGAGCTATTGAGTGAGACGGAAGCGAGGGCTTTGCTCAGGCGGAGGGTTGAGTTGGCTGGTTAGTGTTGGGTGGATGAGCTGACAGTAGCTTGCATAACTGCCACATCTCAAGAGAGAAAGAGAAAGTAGAGAGAGAGAGTGTGTGTGTGTGTGTATGTGTCTGTATGCAGGTTTAGGTGGAACGTGTAAAAGTAGTTTGCATGACTGGCACATCTGAAGTGCATCTGCATGCAAGAATGAAGAGAGCCATTATGCAGGGTCCTTATTTTATTTCGTAACGGCTTTGAAAGGAAAAGAAGAAAAAAAGGTACATTGAGTGACATCTGTTTCTGAATCATACCATCTGGTTGTCTCATACAACGCATCACCCCATGCCATTTCAAGTTTCAAGTAAATTAAATCTTTATTAAAATTGCTGCAGCTGCAGCTGCAGTAAGTAGTAGTAGTAGTATTAGGAGTCCTTGGTGTTGGTGGCGGCGGCGGCGATGGTGTTGTTGTTGTTGTTGTTGTAATGTGTAAGTATGAATCCTACCACCCTAACCCTTGCCATACCCTCCCTCCATCATCACCAATTCCAGGTGTAGGACTACCTTCCATTACCAATTCTAGGACTACATCTCCCCCCCTCCCCTCCCCTCCCCTCCCCTCCCC